GCAGCCGCAGCGGCCAACGAAGTACCAGCAGCCGTCGTTGCCAGTGTACAGCATGTCGCGACCATCAGGGAGGCTCTTCCAGATCCTCAAATGCCAGCTCTTCCAACTGTTGGAACATGCCAGACCTGGTCGTTGGTAGAGCGCAGCAAGAAGATTCCAAATGCCAACGCGGACAGGGAACCACGCTTTAAGGGACTAGAAACCACTGGAAAATTTCGACTCCGCGGCTTGGGCTGGCGAATTTTGAATGGCCCACCTGCTCTCCTCAGCAGAAAAATTGGCCTATCCCAAAACGAGCCCTTCACTCTTTTTTTGGGGGGCCGAACCGAGCGTCGGGTATCCGTTGGCCATGCTCTCTTTGACCAGCTGGTACTTGCCAGCCTCCCGGGCGGCTCGGCTCTCCGCAAGGTGAGGTTTGAAGCCGAAAGGGAAATTCAACGATGGGAAGCCTGGACTAGGTCCTCCAGAGGTTAGAAGTTGGTACCGTTTCTGTTTTCTGTTGTCTATTTAGGGGAACCCTCCAACCAAAAAAGGCGTCAGAAAGGGCACTACTGGGAGACCCAAGAGCCTTCGACAGCGCTTGGAAGAGCTAAAACAGACTCACAGGCTTTATTCTGAAGGCCTTTGCACAAGGTTCACAGTTTGGCTTCTGCAAGCGGAAGGATTCCAAGCCACACTCCTGCCCTTAGGGTGTGCCTCAATTTCAATGGGAACCCCTCTGTTTCATCTACTGGATGAACATTGCCCCCTCAAACATCGCCCCATGGAAAGATTGCTCAGATTAACCTTGGGAACCCAAAGTTGCTGCTTCACCAAAAGGCGAACTATCACTCGCTGGTGATTGAAAGCCTCCATTTTTGCCTTTTCGGCCAGTGGGTCAATGGTCGTCCACGTGCTTCTTTGCGGTCCGTCCCAAAGGTACCACGCCAAGGAAACCCTGCTGGAGACCAGCTGCTCGGCGCGCCTTCCTTTGCTCGCCGTTCGGCGAGATAAGATACATCACCTCAGACGCGTCTGCGGCGTGTGACTCTCTGAGTGGACTGCCGAAGAAATGCATCCTGCAATGCCACGTGACATTCAAAACCCCAAGTGGGAAATCCCGCAACACATTTCGGAACGCCCAAACTTGCGCGAGAAGGTGTCTTTCCCTGAAACCAACTCAAAAAAAGACGGCTCTCCTCAAAGCACACAGACCGAATTCGCTGGCGAATCCGGATGCCGGGGGGGGGGCTTCGGCTTCCGCTTCCGAGCCTTGAGATCGGATCCGATTTCAAGAGAAGAAGCAGACCCACCCTGAACCCAGAAGCAAACAGCTGCTCTGCGTCATTGCTGTGGCCCTATACGCGAAAGACTTGTCATACGTTGTAACCCGAACTAAACAGACCGATCAGACCAGATCTAAACCTTGCGTCGGCACACCACGCTGGCACCATTGTTTGGCCGCTTGCGGTGAAAACAATCTCATTTGTTAGTGGTCAGGAGAACAGTGCAGTCATGGAGACTTGAAAAAACATAAGCGCAGCACAAGTACAGCAAGCTTGCGAACTGATAATATCATGCGGATTTGCGAGTGGCGAGCTCCCTTCAACCCAACCTGACAAACGCAAAGTGTCAGAATACAGGCACCTCTGTTTGTCCCCAGACATGTTTCCTCACTCCAAGTTGCTGTGATGTCACTTGGTATTTTGCCTCACATCGATTCTCAGTTTGACGAGGACATGGCATCCTTTTGAAGCTCCGCGTGTATCACTCAAAACCAGCTGGCCATGAAACTGCGCCCCTCGAATCCATATCTTCACCCCGTGGCATAAGGCCATAAGGCCGACTGAGTCGCTGGAGGCAGCGTCGGTGGGGTGGTCGTGACAGAGATGCCGGCAGGTGCCCAGTCATCCTGAGTTCTCGGCGCGCGGCATAGAAATGCATGGACAATAGGACAGAAGGCAGAGCCATGCTGACTCTGCACGGCACAACCCAGTTGAACTGTTGCTGCCTTGAAAGGATGTGGGTGTGTTCTTTCATCTCCGAAGCCATCAACATGTCCTTCCTGCCGTAAAATCGAGACTGCGAACTTGATGATGCTGGGAACTGACCTCGCCGAAAGCCAAGAAAAAGCAAACCACGGCACGAAGCCAAGCGTCCTCCGGGCACAGCCACTCCTCAGGCGACAGCTCCTGTGGCAGGCGACCCACATGAGGTCCTTCAGCGCAAATCGAGCCGTGGCCTTAGCCCAAGATGCCAGTTGAAACCCTTGAGATTCCAGAATAATCTCTCTCGGTTTTGCATGCCAAACCAGCGAACGCCCCAAGTGGAACATTGCGAGTTGGGCTGTGGGGCTAAAACCAAAAAATACCTTCCCTGAGTTGAGGCCGACAGAATGTCGTGAAACGAGGATTCCCAAGGTTGTGGATGCCTTTCTTGCAACATTGGGCATCCAGCAGCATCATGCTCATGACTTGCACCATTTGCTTGCACTGATGTTCGCGGCAGAATCTGTTGATGTCCTTTGCGCCCACACCGCTCAGGGTTGGGCAATTCAAGCCCTCCCTTAAACCATTGCTTAAACAACCAACCTGCTTACAGAACATCCGTCTGTTTTTCCCCTTCTCAGATGCGACCAAAATATTGATTGTTCAAGGACAACATCCTGTTGGTTTCCCATCTCAAATGGCCCCAATCTCAAGTTGTCTTGAACAGCTAGGTCCTCCAGTAGAGAGGTTAGAATAAGGGTACCCTGTTTCTCTGTAGTCTATTTAGGGGCAACCAAAAAAGGGGAGAGAAGGGCACCTAGCTGGGGGAAGACAGACTTCGCCCAACCCCCCCCTCCCGTGCAGCAAAGCTGCTGACGCAGAACTTCTGCTGGGCGACCGTGTGATCGCCGATGCACCAACAGCCTGATGCTTGCGCGCTGGCCGGCCGCGGGTGGGGAGGGGACCATGGCGATTTTGGTGCCCACGATACGAAGACGCCTGCACCTGTTGCGTCAACGATATGGAGATGAAGTTCAATGCAGGTGTTTAGCCCCTTATGGCAGGTCTTGCCGGCGCGGTCTGTGCCCAAAACGGCCATGAAAAAACCAAACGACAGAGAGGCAATTTCAAACAGACCAACCCAGCTGCAACAAAAGCAAACCCCCACATAGCTGCACCGGCAACCTGCTTCAAGAGGCTGAACAGGTCAAGTTTATGTGAAGCCAAACGAGGAGGCGGTTCCAGACAAGCAAGCTGCTCGCTTGCGACTTCATTGAGTATGCATACAATGTGTGCTTCGATACATTTATATGTTACGTGCATAAATGTCATGCTATATGTGCATAGCTGCAATACAATGTGTGGCCTGCCCTCAACGTGTTCCACAGCCCCTGCCCAAAGCTAATTTGTTTGCTGCGCGCATATCGGTTGAAAGGGAAGATGATGGAACACCTAAAAGGCAACAAATCACAAAGGCAAGACTTTGGTCTGGCAAGGTCCATTTAATGAAAATCACACAGAGTGATGCAAAAAGAGAGGCCACCAACCTCTTTGTAACTTTCAAACTGGGGTGTTTTTTGCAAATTTGGGGAACCGGGACCCTGTTAATCCACAGACACCAACCTCCTGAGTGGTGTTTTTCGTTGGGGAATCCAACTCCCCTTATCAGCCAACTCAAAAAAGAAGACCGAAAACTCAGATGCCCAGTGGCCATGGGAAAAAACAAGTAAAAGGGCACCCCTCTTTTGTTGCTTGACCCTTACCCCCAAAAAAAGGAAAAAAGAGACTACTGATCAGAGGCTTTCCGCACGAGCGGCCCAGGCGGCTGCTGAAGAGCCAGGTCTCCGCCCCTGCGCCGGCGCGGCGGTAGGCGGGGAAGCCGTTGGCGAAATGGCCTGGCGCCGGCCGCATCTTCTCGGCACGGAACGGAAGGCGGGCCGGTCGCTGCTCGGCTTCCGTTTGGCTGTGGGTCAAAAGGATAGGGTAACCCCGAAATGGGTTGCCCTGGCAAGTGAAAACATGAAACCGGTCCCCTGGTGGGTGAATTTGGATCCATACCCGTGTGCAGTGCTGAAGCACCGTGGTCGAAGAAGTGGGGCCCAAAATGTCGCATCGGCGCATCGGCGCATGCCTTCGGCCCCGAGCCCAGCAGTTTGCTCACTGTTGGTTCGGTTGAATGAAATCGGTTCGCTTCATAGGGGGTCGATTTGATTTCGTTTGTTTCGTTGATCAAAGTCCGAAAATGGACTCGGCCGCTGTCGCCCGGCCTGAGAGGTCGAAGCGGCCGGTGACCTTCCGCCCGCGCCTGGGTTGGACGTGCGGTCTGGGCCGGCGGGGGGGGGGAGGAAGGGGGGCGGGGGAGGGGCCTGCAATCGTGTCTGCCTCAGGCGTCCTCCCAAAAAAAGCGAACAAGCTAGATAGCCAAGTTGCGATCGCCTTTGTTTCAGTGACTGCTGCTGGTTGTTGGATGGTAAAGTGGACGGCAAAGAGCGATCGCAACTGGCGATTCAGGAAGTGCATGTTAAGCATATTTGATGAATGTGAAAGCATGTTTGAAGATTTCATTGGAGAGGTCCCCTCAGGCCCAATTTGCGCAGGAATGCCCTTGCCAGAAGTAAGGAAACCAAAAGTGACCCGAGGGGAAAGCAAACGGGCTCTTGGACAGGCATCAAAGCTCACACACAAACGCATATATATATATATATATACACATATATATATATATATGTTGGGATATGATTTTTCTGATGGTACGCCTTTTCATCTTGGTTTCAAGGGATGCCAAAAGGAAACACCTCAACTTGGGGGTTCCGGTTCCCCTTTGAGGACCTTTTGGGTGGCACAATTTTGGGAAGGAAGACCTATTTTGACACATTTGAGCTTCAGTTTTCCATTGGAGGAAGACAATTTGGGAAGAAGACCCCATTTTTTGTGTGAGTCTCCAATTGGGATTGAGGCCCCGGTGGGCAGGGGATTCAGGCCCAACCCTCAAAATCAGGCGATTCCAACTCTTCGTGGCATGCTGACGGAGCCGGGTTCATACACCCCTGGCCTCTTTGGGACATTTGCTTCCAAAAGTTTGGGTCCAGTGAGACGCTGAGGTGGACCAAATTTGCCATGTAGGTGTGTCTTTTTTTGGAGGTGGTACCCCTTTTCTTGGGTGCTTTTGGAGGAAACCTCCAAAAACACGCAAAACCTTCGAAGAAAAACAAAGAAAAAACAAATCTTAGAAAGAAAAAATAGAAAAAGAAAAGATCAAAGTCCCTTTTTGGGCGGCGGTCGTTCCAAACAAAACAAGGCGGACCCTTTGTGCCCCCCGGCCCCCTTTGCGCACCACGCCACGCGCAAACTCGCACCTACCGCGCCGAGCCGCGCGGTGACCCAAAGGCTCCTCGCCGGCGCCTCGAAGGGCTGGGTGCCGATGCCTCGAGCAGCGAGAAAAAGAAAGAAAGAGAAAAGCGCAAACAATGAGCAACATCAAAACAATGAGCACAAGCAAAGCAAAATTCAGCTGGGTGCTGCAAAACAGTTTCAAAAACTGGGAAGAGGAATTCACTGGGAAGAGCAAACTTAGATTCAGATTCGCCAAAATTAATTGCATCTTTTTGAGAAGAGCATCAGGGCTGTGGGGAATGGAATCCACTTCTGTGATACAACAAAAAGGGCTTCCCAAAGACGAACCCCCCATGTAAAGGGGGAGATTCCCTTGATCCCACAACCCTGATGAGCATCCACTTAAACGAAATGCAAAACAAAAGAAACGAAAGACAGCATCTCTTCCATGTATCTCCCAAGCCATTGAACAATCGGCACCTTCGGCACCTGTGAGAATTGCAGCAAATCATTCCCCAGCGGGTTATCTGCACAAGGGAGGTTCTCCAAACAGGAACTCGTCTATCGAAAAATGGTGCTTTTGTGGTTGAGGGGCGGGGCACCAAATGCTGGTCAGCTCGTTCAATTGGCGCATCTGTCACATGTGGGTGCAGGCCGGACTACGAAAGCGGAGTCCAAATGGGCGCCAGAGGTTTTGAACGTTGACCCCAAGCTTGAGACAGCCCAACACTGCGGATGCAATCTTACAGCATGGCGGCAAACACGGAGCTGTGCAATTTTTGCAGCCGGCAACCTGCTATCGCAACACGCTTGCGTACCAGAAGCTGCTTAAGCATACTCCAAGGCGAAGCCTTCTGCCTGTGATTGTGCCCTTTGGTTCCCTTTTTTTCAGCCACCCCAAAAAGAGCACGCCCGCGAAACAGACAGATCCAGTTCTCTGGCTGGAACCCTTTCAAAGGGAATCCAAAAGGAAACCAGCCATTTGGCTGCGGCTCCAAGAAATGTGCCAGAGACTAAAACCTGCGTAACCCTAGTCATCCAATTTTGAGCCACACCCATTTTTGGGCCTATTTTGACAAACACATGAATCAAGAGAACGCCTTTTGCCACATCTGACACACGCCAGGTCTAGCTGGACCTTTCTTCACGTGACGGATTGAGCCATGCCCCACCGAAACGGTCGTTCCCAATGAGCAGGTCTAGCACCCTGGCTCGCCCAAACCTCAGAAGACCTCAAGTATAGCAGGGAGCAAAGTAACACTTGAGCATAGGCGCCCTTTTGGCAAAGAAAGAAGAAGCACTAAATGGGGGGCATAAACCTAAACTGAACCCAGGGGAATCCAAACCGAAATGTTCAAGTGTCCGAAGAAACATCCATGATCAACCATGAGTCTTCAGAAACCTTTTTCGCTTGATATGTCCTCAACACATATCCCATTTTCCAACAAACCAACCTGAAATAAAGTGGTTGGAGGGATGTTCCCCACATAAACCATTTGGAGTGAGGTCGTGTGAGGTCGTTATAATTCACCCAGACCAGATCAAAAGCGACACCAAAAACGACCTGCGCGTCTTTTCCTTCCGAGGAACGGATGTCCTCGTCATGGTGCCAGCCCTTGTCCACGCGGGTGCTCCAACCTGCCCAGCGCCCCGTCATTTCGGCCCCTTTTTTTGAATTTGTGTAGGGGAAACAAAGGGAAACCCATGAAAAAAGGGGGTGTCACACCTGTTTTGTTAATGTCATGGGTACAAAAACCATCATGGAATTTGAAACGGAAGCTCCCTGAAAGACCAACATTTCTCTAGGGCCCTCTTTCAAGTTCCATGCTTCTTTTTGGCAGGGTGGTAGTTCTACGAGATCTAGGAGTCATTAAACCGCGCCAGTGTTAAAACTAGACCCACTCTTGAAGATGGCGCTTCCCAAATGGGAGGATTTGGGGAGGATTCGATCCATAGGTGTCCTTTTGGAAAAATAATTCGCCCTGGTAAATGGGAAGAAAAAAGACGCAATCTAAACCAGCGCCATCTATTTCTAATCAAACCAACCAATAAAACAATTATCCCTAGATCCCTTTTGAGCCGATCCGCGGTGCACCCCACCTCTATGGTTGCCCGCAAAGGCATCCGGTGGCAATCCTGCAGAGTCTGGAACGCATGTGACAGATGCGTCCCGGAACAGAACCCCCTCGACGTGTGGGTGTGGCTGAAAAAAAATCAGCAGGAGGGGTTTCGCAGGTTTTGGTCCATGTTTCCACTTACCAGGGTTCCATTTTGGTACAGTTTTTTGAGCCACAGCCATTTGTACCGTGAACAATAGCCAAAGGTGGCTATTAAGTCTCCACCCTGAAACACCAGTTCAACGAGTAGCCTGAGGTTTGACAGCTGCTTGAAACGAAACCAAGAAAGAGAACCCTGGAACACAAAAACACAACCCCCAAAAAAATGCGCGTCCCAAAAGGTGGAGGACAAAGCTCCGGCCGAAGGCCCGAGTTTGCGTGCGTTTGGAGAACGGGTCTTGCAGAACTCTTGAGACGAATTGCGGTGTCTCATGGGGACTTTTCCACATGGGGAATTTCCAAAATGCCTGGTTTCCTTTTGAGGCTTCCCTTTAAACTATCCCGAAAGGAGACCATTTTGAGAACCCCATCTGGATTTTCCCCAAACAAATCCTTGCCTGAGACGACTTTTGGGGGCTGGCTGACACATGCAAAGCCTGGCCCGTCGCCTGTGCTTGCACAAGACATCCTTGACAGCATGGACACATACCAATCCGAAAAAAGCAAGGCACGGCACCAGTGCGGGTCTATACTTACATGGCATATTGCAGTCAGCCGACTTGGGGGCCTTGCTCACACTGAACGACGAGATTCGGGGTTGCCTCATAATGAGGGCACACGAACACTCCTTGGTATCCTTTTGGCTTCTTTTTTTTATTTTTTTATTTTTTTATTTCATGTGTTTTTTATTTAAAAAAAGAAGAAGACAACAACAAAAAAGGAAAGGGTACCCAGTACCAAGTCCAAAAAAAGCCAAGTCCTTGGCCAAGCCCCGAAACTCTCGGTGGACACGTCCTGCGTGCGCGTGGGAGGAGGCAAGGCCCCCGATGCTGCAGCAGAAGCGCCTCGGCTCCCGAGGCCATGCGTCCATGCCAATGGGCCACTTCGCACCTGGTGGCAGGGCCATCGCCAATGGGCTCTGGGTTGATACATGGCTCAAAAAACCTGAATTCCTTAAAATGGGCACATCAGCTCTTTCAGTTTCACTGAAAGCCTACCAAAAGAGGACGCCTGGTCGGCGCCCATCGGCAATCGGTCGCCCCCCCCCCCCCCCCCCCGCGCCGGCGCGTTGCGCGTGGAACGCGTTGCCAGGCGGCCGGTCGAGCACCACCTTCTTGCCGACCACGTACCTTGAGCTCGGAACGTCGTGTCAGCAGAAAACCAAAGAACCAACGGTCTGGCCATGAGACCTGGCAGTGAACAATGCAGTTGCACTGCGCACATCCACATGTCCTCATTGGGCCGCCCCTCCAGTTAAAATCAATTCACTGGTTTGCACCAAAGGCTGGAAACAAGAATTCTCTGCGGCCAGGAGGGTTGGGGCACAAGGGAAATCTACGAGTCTACGAACCTTCCCGTTTGCCAGGCGTTCCGGCCAAGAAGCCATTTCCCGTTCCTGCCGCTGTACAAGTACGCCGCCTCCCCAGAGCCAGCTCGCTTCCAGACCGGGAAGCCGTTGGCGCGTTCTTCACACATGCGGTACTCCCCGGAAAGCTTCTGGTAGGCGTTCCTGGGAGCAAGTCGGCACCGCTTGTGCGGCTAGGCGCCGCGCACACACACGCACAAACATACAAAAAGGAGAGGGAAGGAGTTTTCGATGAAGTGGCTGTGGGTCACAAGTGAAACCCTGGCAAATGAAGATAGCAACTGCACACGCCAAATTCGCACAAGACAAATGAGCCCCACTAGACTCCCCATCGGTCAAACAATCGTTTGGATTTCTGCCGAACGCTTCGCTGGGACTTCCCAAGAACCTACCCCTTTACACCCACACCATTACAAAACGAACTGAGCTCGTCAGGCGGGTCTCTCTTGTTGGGGTACCTTTGTTGGAGGGTGTTTAGGGGTTTGTCTCCAAATAGGGGACATCCGAAACAGAGTGGATCTTGCTATGGTTTCGCCTTGAAACCACCCCAAACAGGTTCCCCAAAGAAGAGTCACACCCTTCGTGGGAACCAAAGATAACTATTTTTCAGAACCTATTTTTGTGGGGATTGAATCGGATGTTCACTGGGGGTACGATTTGGCTTTTGACCCATGGCCAAATGTTGTCGGCTCCGCCCTTCCGCAGGATTCCAACCGCCCTTCTTTTGCACGTTGCCGCGCAGTTTTCTGATCCCCCGCTAAAAGTGACTAACTTTTGGCGGGTTAAATAGAAACTACCACTAAACACTAAAAAGCTAAAAAGCTAAGGAACCGGATGGCTGGGAGCCACCAAGTTGTAGCTTGTTCGCATTTTTTGACGGTGTCGTTTTGTCCAAGGAATCTCCTGGTTTGACAACTGAAACACCTGGCAAGGCCCGGTTTGGGCGCGTCCCTTTGGCCGTGGCGTGTCTTGTGCGGCTCCTTTTCCGGTGGCTTCGGTGGAATTCGGGGGGGGGGGGTTCCATCATATGGCCCGAAGAACACGGTGTTCACCGCCCCATCTGGCCATTTCTACAAGCTCTACGCCATCACCTGCACTTCGGGCAAGCGAGAGCCATGCGAGCTCCGATGCGGCACCGCTTCGCTTTGGGCACCGCGGGCAACCAACTTGCCATTCCCAACAGGTTTTCCGAGATCTTTGCCACCAGGATTCTCCAAACCCCCATCGCCAACCAACCCCTCCCCCAACCCCAACCTGCCCCCAACCTGCCCCCACTCCAACACTCAGACCACTCAAACCCAGACCCAGCTCCCTCGCGAAGCGGCGGGGAGGCCACAAACAGCACCGCCGGCATCTCCGGCGCCGCCACGTGGAAGCGGATGGAGCTGTCGCGGCTCCAGCCGTACTGGTCCTCGTGGAAAGCGGCAAACATGTTGCTCCAACCACAACCCTCTTTTTCTTGGACCCAGCCAAAACTAGGAGGGTACTCCTTTTTTCTGTAGTCTATTTTAGTGCCTCCCCAAACAAAAGGTAAAGGGCGCTACTGGGGGACCTAGAAAAGGTGAAATTGAGGTCTGAAAAGCTGGGGTGAGGTTGGAAAAACAGGGGCCCCCTGCCAAGCTTTTCTCGATGAACTTTCAACCGGAAATGTGCCAAAGACCCTGCGAAAAGAGGCTGATGTCCTGTGGAATTTCTTGCAAGTGACTTCTTAGATGGGAACAATCTTGGGTTGGGGGGACCGAAGGGTGGCATGCCTATGCCGGTTCTGTGACACAACCCAGTTGGAGCAGGACGAAAAGGAAAAACGCAGACCATAGCCCCGCCCGTTCTTTTTGGACGGGTAGAAAAGCAGTGGCTTGGAAGCCGGTCTGAGCACGCCCAGGGCTGGGAATCATGAAGGAGGGGAGGGTCTTTGTTTGGAGTGTGTACCCTTTTTGCCGATTTAGATGGAAACCCTAAGGACAAGAACACACTTTTGTGGCGGAGCAACTGAAGCATCGCTTCAGCAATGATTGTTTCCCCTCTACAACAACCCACTTCGGTGAAAGGCTTTAATCGCAATGGAAAGGGGTGAACATCCATTGTAGACAAGGCCAGACTTCATATCTGATCTCTTAACAGCTGTGGGGGAGAGCCTGGAACATCAATGTCCTCTAGGGAATCCCCGTCAGGTGCCTTAGAGGTGCCTGAGCTCCACTCAGCCCGGCTCCTTGTACTGCCAGCTGTCCTCCTCCAACCTAGTCGCCACATGCAGCGAGGCCACTCTTGCCCAGGGGGGTCGTTTTGCCACCTTGTGTCAGAAAAATTGGCGAACCCCTCAACAAGGAATGCTTCATTACAAGGGGGTCGATCATTTTTCCACCAAAGGTGGCAAAAAGACCCCCCTGCTGTTGCCAGTCATTTTCCCAAAGGCCCACAGCCCTTTGATCATTCAGTGATTCGGCGCTTCCTAAAGCTAATAATCAGCTAAGCTCCACGTCTCGCCTTCCTCTTCACTTCCTGTGCACACAAACTTCCCGAATGCAGCGCTGGGGATTGGACGCTGGGCCCAGACATGACGAGGATTCGCATCTTTCAACCCTGCCCACACTGGTGGGCGCAAGTTTCCATTTGTCCACTGAAGGAAATGGACCCTTCGCGATTCAAAAAGCAACGCACCCAGTGTGAAGCAATCCGCAAAACGTCCCCAAATCTACCGAAGACGAGGCACAAATGCTGGACGCGCAACCTCAAAACACCGATGGGCACTCCTTTAGAATCAGCTGCGACAGAGCCTGTGACAGACAGATGTGGCAGGCAGCCGTGACAGAGCTTGTGACAGAAAGGTGTAACTTAGCTGGTGACAGACAGCTGCGAGAGACGGCTGTGGCCCAGTTGCCAGGCATGCTGCTGGCTGATGCGACGACAGTCAAACCAGACTGGAACCATCAATAGCAGCCTCCATGTTTGGTGGAGCTTCCCTTCGAAACCGAACACTCCTCCGATTCTTCGCAAGGACGCATCATCCGTGGCCCCAAGATCCGACTGCGCGCTCGGGGTCTCCAGAAACACAACGCGCTGGCGCCTGGGCCTTCAGAAACGGCCAAGCTGCCACGAGCACCGTTCAACTGCTGCAAGCAAAGCCTGTGGCTGCCTTTGTGGTTGCAGCCTAGTTTCGCCAAGCAAGTTGCTTGGGCGGGGATTCCCCAAGATTCGTCACTTCAGGGCTTGGACGAGCTTGATCTGGGGTCGGCACCCCCAAACCACTACCTCCAGGAAGGAATAAGGGTGTATACCTTTTTTACATAGTGGTTATATAAAAAGTGGGAACTACTTTTTCGTCCCGGAAAGTGGGTGGACGCCAACTTAGCCACCCGCCCCCCACCGACCCGAGGCACATGGGTGGCATCAGGTTCCGGTGCTCCCCGCAGCTCGCCAGCAGCCCCCGGCCGCACTGGAAGTCGCTCTCCTCCACGGCCTGGCTCAAATCACCCGACTCGACTCGCCGGACTCGCCGGGGGACCGACTCCATGGTGCCAAGGGTGGTGCCAGGGGGTCGTGGAAGAAACTTATTTGGGGGGGGGGGGCAATAAGAAAAGAACCGGGTGAATGTCGACCGCCCCAAAACCGGGCTGAAATTCTGAGTTTCCTTTTGGTGCGCGAGTTCGTAAAAGAAGGAGTTCGACCTTTGGGACAGACCCAAATGGGCCTCCAGCTGTCCCCAAATCACTTGCCGCGACTGGTGGGACGACTTGCCATTGCCTGAGGAAACAAAAAAACTTCTTGGGGTGCTTAAAGCTGGAACCATGCCGACACAATCCATTCTTTTGAGTTGCTTGTTTGGAGGCAAGCCCATATGCCGGGGGTCCAACAGCCCCGCATGTGGGCTGTCCATAGTGGCGGATGGCATTGTGGGCCAACCAGCTCTAGTCATCCCAAACGGGTGACAGATAGTGGTTTGTCTGGGCTGTGAGGAAATACTGTAGAACCACATTTCGTCCTATAGGATCTTTGAGGCCAAGCTTCAGCCAAGCCAATGGTGCTTTCTCAAACTGGTAGTAAAAGCAACCAAGGCTCGCTGCGAAGGTTGCCGCCCCATGCGGAAGTGCAGCGATGGGGAGGTGCCGGACAGGGAGTCTCTCTCTGACTTGCCTGTGACCCAGAGGTTCAAAAATTTTGAATTTGCTTCCCAACAATGCAACAAAAAATAAGCTCGGGCGATATCCCCAACAGCACCACACCCTCCCAGAATCCTCGCGGAACGCCCCGGGACCATCCTTACCGCCGGTGTTGCTGAGGATGCCGCCTTGTAAAGCAAAGCTACGAGTGACAGCGCAATCTCGCCCTGATCGGGGCCCGACGGCGCAATCGAGGCCCGATCGGGGCCCGACGGCGCAATCGGGGCCCGATCGGGGCCGACGGCGCAATCGGGGCCCGATCGGGCCCAAACGGTGCAATCGGGCGGGCCCCGACAGTGCAATCGGGCCCCGACCTATAGGCCCGGTGAACCTCGCAAACTGTTCTCACGCAACTTTCGTGGCCTTCCCTCAGGGCTGCCTTATAGCTTTTGCAGAATTTGGTGGAAACCTTCTGACCTCATAGCCCTCGCAGCCTCGTGGAATTCTTGAAACCCAAAGCCCACCAAGCAGCAATGCCAAGCATTTACTCTGCTGCACCGTGAGTTCCGCAGCGACGTGATCTGATTTGCTTTGCCACAAAGCCAACATTTGCCTGAGCAAGTGAGCAAGTCACAAAACAGTGAAAGTGTGCTAAAAACCATTGATTTCGGTTTTGCTTAGTGTTCTGCCCATGAGCAAAGCGATCTTGATCCGATGGCTTTTCAGACGACGGGCGCACGACACACCCTTGCTGGAGCATTGTGGAGCCTTGTGGAACCCGTGTGGAATCCTTGCAGAGCTTTGTGGAACCCTGTGAAACCTCAGCCCTCGCAGAATCTTGTGGAACCCTGAAACCCTCATACAACCTTACCTCAAACCACCCCGGACCACCCCGCAGCCCTTGGAATGGAACCTTACCTTGCAAAACCTGGTGGAATTCTGGTGGAATTCTCATGGAACATTACCTCAAACCAGCCCGGACCGCTGGTGGAACCCTGGTGAAACCCTGGTGGAACCCTTGTGGAACCTTCCCCGGACCACGCCGCACCCTCGAAGAAATTGGTGGAACCCTGGTGCCCTCGTCCCCGGAGCACGACGGGCTGGTGGAACCCTGGTGGAAACCTGGTGGAAACCTGGTTGAACCCTCGTGGAACCTTACCTCAAACCACCTCGGACCACCCTGCAGCCATCGCAGAACCTGGTGAAACCCTGGCAGAATTCTGGTGGAAATCTGGTGGAACCCTCGTGGAACCTTCCTCAAACCAGACCACCCCAGCCCTCGAAGAAATTGGTGGAACCCTGGTGGACCCCGCCCTTGCAGAACCTGCTGGAACCCTGGTGGAACCCTGGTGGAACCCTGGTGGAACCCTGGTGGAACCCCAAAGCTTTCAGCTGTTGGGGAAAAAACTCCTCCCGCGATGCAGTTCTTCGGTCGGGAGGCTCTTGCTGCGCGCCCCAAAAAAACGCCGGCACCTTGTTGCCGCTGACGTACCACCGGCCATTGGGCCCGCCTTGCTTCGCTCGCTCCACGAATTCGGCCGGCGGATGGGAAATGAAGGTCAATGCCTTCGGATCTTCGGATGACTCCCAAGGATTTGGGACTATGACTAGAAATGAACCAAAACGAGAAAACCAAAAGGTTAAAAGGTCGGCGTTGGGCAAAAAATCGGCATTCATGCTAGGGTTGCTATGGTTCCCTGAACTTTGGAGTCGAAGTCAGAACCCTGGCCACCTTCGCCCTTCGAATCCCAAGCCCAGTCATTCAACCATGGATGCCTTCCACTTGCCTCAGCTCAGCCCTAACCAAGCCCTGCCCCAACGGCCTGGAGCGGTTCAACACCTCTCGATTCTACGAAAAAAAACACAAGCAAGAACCAAAAACCGCCCCAGAACCCTTCTGCGGCTGAAGAACCTTCGCCATGTTCACCCGGCTGTGGCTGAAAACCCCGTGTTTCTGGTGAACATCCAAATAGAATAGGTGGTACATGTTTGTGTTCATCCGCCAGGGGTCTGACCCATGGCCAAAAGGAAACATCCAACTCAGCGACCCTCAAAAAAGGAAACCCTCAAGAAAGGAAACCCTCAAAAGGAACCCCCAAAAAAGAGGTACTTTCAGGGGATGTCCCCAACAAGTTTCTGACCCATGGCCACATCAGCGCACCCGGAGCCATCGATCCGCTCAAAAAATAATCAGCCGAGGCGCTGTAGATCCAGGCCTCCGCGCCCTCGCCCTGGCGCTTCCAGACGGGGAGGCCGTTCTTGTGCTTCTCCTCCAGGCGGTACAGACCTGGCGTCGGTTGACCTGGGGGGGGTTCTTTTGTATTGAACCTCGTTGCACCGGGTCTCTTGTTCATTGACTCCTTCCATGTGGTTAAGACCCCTGGGAAAAAGAAAAACATGTCCGGTAGTCATAGATTCCCTTTAAAACCGACACGGGAACATAAAAATATATTCTTAAGCAAATGGAAGACTCGGGTGTCTTTCTCCCCAACCCAAGGGGGCAGCCGCTGAAATCAGTTTGGACTTTGGTGAAGCAGCTGTCCGTTGACCCACTCCCCCAGACCGCCAATCCAAACCTGCACTGGTGGCAGGTTTTGGTTGAGGATTTCTTTGTTGACCTGCACGGGGTTCTGTTTCCCACCAAGGGTGATCTGAAGACCTGGCCAGGAGCTTCCCTCGGTGAGGGAAAGAAACAAGTGGTGGTTCGAGGCGAGAGGCACCTTGTTAGGTTGGTTTCAAGGGAACATGAGAAGGAAAGCCACATCCCCCCTATTTCTACGGATAATTGATTGGTGGTTCGGGGCCTCTACCCTCTACAAGAAGACAGGGGCCAGGGGGTCAAATCCCCATGCCAATCCAAACCACCGACTAAGGGTGGAAGAGAACATGGGGTGGAAGAGAACATGGGGAGACTGAAATATTAGCCGATAACATCTCACTGCCCTAACATCGGCGCACGAAGTGTTTGTTGACTCTTCTGACACATGTGAAGACTCCCATTTGGGCGCGTCTTAAAATGGAGTACCCCCCCCCCATGCAAGGTTTCCTTTCGGCTTCCCTCTGGTCTCCAACCAACTGGCGGTTCCCCAACAAAAAGACCACCCCACCAGACCAAACCTTGGTTGACGTTGGAAGGTGCCACGACAGCCTGCCGAGCTTGTCATTGTTTTTTTCGGTTCTGCGCGGTATGTCATCGTTTGTGTGGCAGAAGTCATCGTGTCTGCGGCACGCGTGGTCGTTTCAGCGTCGCAAGTCATCGGGAGCAAAACAAATCAAATTTTAGCAGTTCAGTGGTTGGATTTCAACCACTAAACCACAATAAGCAAAAAGAAATGGAGAAAAAAACAGACAATGGAAAACCAACCATAAGCAAAATAACAATCACAAAAACAAAAAAATGAGGAAGAAAGGTTTCGCAAGCAACAGAAACTGTTATCCTGTGTTGCGGCGCTTAGTTAAGCGGGAAAATCCCCCCGCCTCCGAGCTTCTGCTGACCATTGGGGGAGCTGAGGTAGAGCTCCGGGGGCACATCCAGCGCCCGCGCGGGCATCGGGCAGCGGAAGCGGAGGCCTTGTGACCTAGTGGCCTTGTGGCTTCGAACTGACTGGGCTGGCCGTTTTCAGGAAGGATTCCCCGCGAAAAGTGACTCGAACTGTTTTCGTGGGTCAAATGGAAATCCCCCACAAAAAAAAAAAAACACGAAGAAGCTAAAAAGCGAAGGAACCGGATGGCTGGGAACCACCAAGGTGCTAGGAGCCATGCGGTCACAGGACCTATCGGTTTGAAACCCAGTGACTGGGGGCTGAGACTCTAAGCCGCATCCGCTGGGCCTGGGCTGAAAGTGTCATGTGTCTAAAAATTCCCCTCGTGAGCCACGTGCAGAATTGCAGAACGCCGGGGGCTGAACGCCGGGCTGACTCAAAGAGTTCGACTGAGAAGGCATACGGACCTCCGGAGATTTGGAAAGGCCCCAAAAGTGGGAAGGCATAAGCGATCTAGATCGAATCTGGCTCGGTTGCCACCAGCCACACTCTGATGACTCCAGTAGGTTCCAGCACCGCATCCGGTCTCACTCTGTGGAAAGGCGACGAGACTGGATTCAAGACGTGACGGGTCTTCTCCCTGCAAAATGGACCAGCAGTCCTCATGATTCCTTCACCCAAGCCATAGTGACAATTCATGGCAGTTCTCGTTGCTGTGCCGGCTAGGTTGGGCCATATGTTCACTGGGTCCTCCAGAGAGGTTAGAATAAGTTGGTGCCAACTTTTCTCTGAATCGCCTATTTTAGTAGGGGGTTCCCCCTCCCCCAAAAAAGGGGAGAGAGAGAGAGAGGGCACTACTGGGGCACCCAGTTCAGGTGGAAACGCAGTACAGCCTGCGGACAGGGGAGCCTGTTGGGACCCCTTTTCTAGGGGTAGCTTCCCCATTCTTTTCAGGGATCCTTCTTTCTAGAAAACCACCAAAAACCCGGGGGAAATGGCTGGTGTTTGAAAAGAACGATGGCTGAAAAGAATGGGGAATCAACCCCTAGACCTTTCGGTTTCATGTTCGCCCGAACTGGAAGGGGAATCAAGAGCGTCCCTAACGTTGGCGGCATTTGCTCCACGTGACAGGTGAATGCCAAGGTCCAGATCGTGCTTTGTGAATTGCATGCACTCCTACCGCCTGCATTGGCAAGTAGAGGCTCAAAATCATAAAAGTGCTCACTTCCAAATTCCAATCGCTCCCCTTTTACCGCCCGTCGCCAGGATGGAATCGCATGTACAACCCGACACAGAACCACACACACACACACAACTGAATACCAAATCAGACAGGCCTGACCTAGAAAACAACCGACTCCCCCAAACAAGCCAAGCCGAACTGGGATTGGGATGGACGACCTGCCCAAAAAAATCCCGCATTCTCCTCACAAGTCAAATGACACAAGAGGAAGCCCTTGCCCTTGGGGCCGATTCCAATTTGGAGACAGACCCATATTGACAATGAAGGGCATGACGTCAGCGGACTCCCCAAAGCTGGAAAATGGGCGTGCCTTCCGTTGACCTTGAAAGCTCTGGCTTAGGAAAGCCAAACAAAAACAGCAGAGCCGCCTTGTTTCGTGTCTTTCTTTCTTTCTTTCTTTCTTTCTTTCTTTCTTTCTTTCTTTCTTTCTTTCTTTCTTTCTTTCTTTCTTTTTTTTTGGGGGGGTTCGATTCCTTAACAGCGAGCCACAAAACTTAGGCCGCGGCCTTTGCCACCTCCACCCAGGAGGGCCGGTTCGGAGGCCTCGGATCTGGCTGAGAGGTGTTTTCCTTTACTCGGCCATACGAGCCGAGAGGAAGTCCGTGGCTCGGTGCCCCCGGCGTACGTCCAGACCCACCCAAAGAGTTCTTCGGGCTCATGGGAAAAGGATGCGTCGGCTTTCTTGAATTCTTTAAAGATGGGGGTCTCGGACCCTCGGGCCCGAACCTCATGGCGAGAGGTTCAAATCGCCCAAAAGGTGAGGTGGGAAGGTTCCCTAGTGGTAGCCACTCCTCAGTGCCCAAAATGTTCACCAAAACCGGATGGATGGACAAAAACGCCTGGAATCCCAGGCACTCATCCCGTTGGGGTTGGCCGAAACGGATTTCATCCATAACTGGGGCCTAGCGTGGATGTGTTCCATCCAGAATGTGAGCAGAAATGAGGCCATTTGAAGTTGAATTTTGTAGGTTGGACATCGACTACAGGTCCAGCCACATGGGAATATGAGGGCAAAGTGTCCCCTGGTCTTTGTGGGAGTGTCCCCAGTGTTCCTCCCAACGTTCCTCTGCAACGCACGCACGAGTTTAGGTTGGGACTGGGACCGCAATCAAACCTGTACCAAGGAGGAAGAAGAAAAAAACTCCTTTCCGTGCTTCAACAAAGGCATCTTTGTTTGTTGTGAAGTTGAACCCAGGAGTAGTACCCTGTTTGAGTACTAGGGGATGCCGTTTCTGCTTGCGACATGATGCAAGCACTTCAAACGTGGGGAGAAACCAGCCCGCTTGAATCCAGCTGAAAGTCTCGCCCGAGCCGGCGGGGAGCACAGCGAAGAGCAACCGGGGTTCAGCCTTTTCCTGCTTTTGAGAAGAAAGGGAGCCCGTCACAGAAACTTGACCAAGGAACGGTACCTCAATTGAGACGCACATGGCAAGCGTCTCAAGACGGTGGTTCTCGGAAGCCCACGCCAATTGGGTATGTCTTGAACTAGACCCCAAAATCGTGGTTTCCTCCCGGTTTGGTGGTGTTCGGCTTCTTTCCCCACAAGACAAAGGCACACCCTCAGAAGAAGACAGCCCTGACCCCAACTCCGCCCTGTGCTTCCCGGCTCATCGGGTGCCTGTCGCGACAGTTCTCCCAGCTCTGACTCGATGGATGCGGTTTATGGGTCTTACTGGCCCGACATGGGACACACCCAAAAAAACCGTGGGGTCAAATGGCTACGGGTGTGGTGATGTGCAGTGGACATTGTACAGCAGAAGGGGCCCCGAAAGGACTATAGCGTTCAACATAGCTCAAACTGGGGAGCAACAAAGCTGAGAGCTGGCAAGAATTTTGAATTCTTGTCGCCCAGGGGCCCAGGGGAAAGGACATTTCGGCAGAGCAAGGCTCCTGAAGTAATTCTGACGTGAGGTCGATACTCTTTGTTCCCGACATGGGAGTTTGGGAGCTTCTCAAACTTGGAAGCGGACACCGTGTTTAAAGAAGACGCTGAAAGGAAACCTGTGTTCCAATTTTAGGAGAAGCCAAAAGCTTTCTACGGAAACCAATCACTTTTGTAGAGAAGCCAATTTGCGAGCAAGAGCAAACCCGCGCCGTTGGGGACCAAATGCCTTGAAGACCCCCCCCTGTGCGCACGACTGCTCAAGTCCGGAGCGAGTCCGGGCCGAGAGCTCCGGAGCGAGCAAGTCCGGGCCTGCGCTGACGACTCGCCTGACCGGAGCGAGCGGGAGTCCAGCCGAGGTGTTGGGGCGAAAAGTGTCCATGTTGCTTGTTCAAAAGGGATCTGGGAAGGAGAAGGTCAACCAAGTCCAATGAATAGCCCCAAAGACATTGTGGAACTGACAAGCTGTCCGCACCCACTCGCTGAAGCAAAGGAGCTTGTTCAAAAGGGACCTAGGAAGCAAGAGCCGCCCGTGAAACCACCTATGCTTTCGAAAAGCAACTGAGCTCTTTGGAGGAGTACTGATGCTGTCAAGAGAGGCCCTGAAAGTATGGGCCTGCCTTCAAAAGCCCACTTTGGCTCCCCTCAAAGTGCAAACAACAAGGGGTCGCCTCCTCCCCCAAAAAAAAAACAGACCCGCTACAGGGTCTTCGGAGAGCACGACAAACCATGCCGACTTGCAGATGTCCCCAGCGCATGGCTTTGTTTCTCTGGGCCCTGCCCCCCATCTTGGAACCTGTGCCATGATTCCAAGGACCCTGCCTCCAAAGGCCATGGGTCAAGACTGCGGCAACCCCAAAATGGGTCGCCCTGGGAAATGGAACCCTGGCGGTTTTATGTTGACCCATACCCATATGGTTCACGAGGACGCCCAAAAAGGGCAAACACCAAGCTCCCCCAAAACCCGGCGACGGAGGGCGGCCTTCGTCGCTCGGCGCACCTGTGCTGCCTGGCGGGTTCGGACGCACAACTTCGCTTTGTGCGTTGGGCATAGGTGGCCTTTTGGAAAAATAGATGGCCCTGGTACATGGAATAAACCATCTAAACCAGGGCCCTCTGTTTTGTAAGCAAGCCAACCAAAAAGGACACCTATGGTTTTGGGTTTCAACTTGGCTTGTTTGTTGCTTCCATATGGCCGTTGGGTCCCAGAGCGCTCGCTCAGCAGAAACGTTGGGGGGGGGGGTCTTGTGCTTTCAGGCTACCCCTCGTTTTGGCCGGTTTGAAGGGAACCCAAAGCAAGAAACCGAAACGGTCTGCAAAGTCCCCTAGAAGCAGACCCACGTGAATCATCGCTTGCTTGCGGATGTTTTTTCTCCGGAGCCCATCAGCTGCAAGCTCTTCTCTTCGAGGAGTCACAGCGCATGGAGCGCAAGCAGCTGCGGGCCCCGAAACGGATAGTGTTTTCCTCTTGGTGTCCAGGCGCCCTTGCCTGGATCGATCCAGTTGAGACCCAGCTGGCCAAACCTTCGGCTCGGTCACTTGCTTTTTTTTCCTTTTCGCCCCCTTTCCCTCCCAAACAAAGAAAACAAACACCGGGTGTACCGCTGGAGGCCCGGTTTTTCAACATCTGCCACAGAAAACCTGAAACAGACTGGATTCCCATACCTTCACCTGACTGTCCAGCCAGAAATAATCCATCACTGTCGAAGGGAAGAGTTCATGGGCGTGGCTCGGAAATGGTGGTCAAAAGGCCCCCCCTTTTTCTGGGACATGGTTGTCAAAAGGCCCCCCCTTTTTTGGTTGAGGGTAGCCCTTTTAAAGGACAACCAAAAGCAGTCACTAGTACCATTGCTGGCCTCACGTGCGGACCTCAGATGTTTGCAGTGCGCGTGAATGAATGAATGAATGGCAACCAAAAGCAACACCCAACGGCCACGGTTTTTTTTGGCGGCCCCGCCTGGTTCGATGGCCACTTTCC